GGTAGGGGAACAAAAAGGGGGAGATTGATTGGCTAATTTGGACTTATGCTTTAGACCATGAGTGGGGAACAAGGGCTGGTTGATATGGTTGGTGGCAGGTCAGGTTCTTTTGGCCTTTTGTGGGTGTTTGTTTGGCCAAAGTGGGGAGCACAAGGAAGCACATTTGGTGGTTATGGTGGTGAATAAAAGGGGGCCTGTTTTGGGGCCTATAATTAGGCCAAATGAGGGGACAAGGGCCTGATTTGGTTTATGGTTTGACATTAATTTTGGCCAATTATACATTATTTCATTGAAGAGATAATGGGGGGATTAGGGAGATGGACATTTCGTCCATAATGTAGGAAGAGGAGGGGAAGTGTATTATTTGATTACTTAAAGGTTTAAGAATAACAAAAAAAGGTTTTTGGTTTGCTTTCTTCTTATTTTCAGTCAAGGGACTTAAAATAAGTGGAGGAAGACTTTATTTGAAAGGGAATAAAAGACAAGGCAGTTTAATATTTAGGGATGGTTTGAGGTTTAGATGGCTCGGCCTAAGTGGGATGTAGGACAACAATGGTGTTGGTCTGGGCTTCAAGATAGGAAAAAGGAATGAATTCAACCCAATTAAAGTCACCACACTTTGGCTTCATTCTCCTGATTTGTTTTTCGTTTTGTGGACTAAGGAAAGTCTTCGTTGACGCTCCCGAATATCTAACATCCTCCCCTTGTTCAAAAGAGTTTGTCCTCAAACTCAGCATTTCTTCAAGCTCAAAATAGGGGCTGGCTTTGAACATGGCATACTCCTTGATGTGTCCACTGGGTTCTTGGAGTATGGTGAGCTGAAAATGCAGCCTCGGTAGAACTATAGAACACTTGGAAAAGGTGTTCTTGCATCTTTGTTTTCTTTCTTGAAATCCCTGCATATCCACAACAAGATTGGCACCAAAGGCCATTAGTAGTAACAAGGTTCCACGGTTGGTTCTCTTAAATGGGGGTTCGGTTGGACCATTTGCAAGAAGACATAGGGTAAAGTTTGGTTGAACCAAGGGATGGGAGAGTGGTTGTGAATCTTTGGACCGAATGAGGATCATTTCCTTGGCCTTTCGAGGCATTGATGATTCATGTTTGATAACAATGGAGAGTAGGGCAGGGGCTTGTTCATGGATATGAGGATTTGATGGAATTTGAAGGATAAGAAAGATGTTCTTTTTACCCACAAAGAATGAGAAGGTGTTACTGAAGCCATCATATAGCACTCTCTGATCAAACAACCATGGTCTTCCTAGAAGAATGTGGCAAGCATCCCTGGGTGCGATCATGAGCTTTTCTTCTTTTTCTCGTTCTTCCACAATTCTCAATGGTTTATTAACGACCATGAGCTTTTCTTGCTCCAAGAATAATGGTCTCTCATCTTCTTGAACTTGTTTTTGCCTCAAAACTTTTTGTTCCATAACATCTTCAATCAAGGTCACTTTTCTCTTATTTGGACACATGATAGCATAATGTCCAACCTTTTGACAATGGTAACAACCAGGGTTTGTAGACTTGATTGTAGGCAGCTTAGGGAGTGGAGTTGGAGGTACGGTTCTGGTTGGGTTTTGGGTGGGAATAGGTTTAGGGTTCATTTGGGAAGTTGATATTGGTATTGTTGGCGTGGTTTGTTGAGGGGTGAAGGCTGTAGTAGTAAGAGATGGTTTGAGGGTTTCTAGTAAAATATGAGGGTGGTT